CATACACTTGAAACTTCTATAATTGATTGAAATTAAGGAATGTTGAATGTTGAATTCTGTTAATTTCCTTTATTGTCCCAGACGCATTAATGCGCAAATTAAATTCATTAAGAGAAACCAAAGTTGAAAATAATTCATTTTCAACTAGACAATTAATGCTATTTATATAAGCCTTGCTAAGACAAAGGTTTCAAGTGTAACGTTGTGAATCGGACGTGCACCTCTACTAACGGACATGCACCTCTACTAACGGACATGCACCTCTAAAAACGGACATGCTCCTCTACTAACGGACATGCACCTCTACTAACGGACATGCACCTCTACAAACGGACATGCACCTCTACAAACGGACATGCACCTCTACTAACGGACATGCACCTCTACAAACGGACATGCACCTCTACTAACGGACATGCACCTCTACTAACGGACATGCACCTCTACTAACGGACATGCACCTCTACAAACGGAGGGTCACTTGAAATTACGTCTCCCTGGTATCTGTATGTTGGAAACCTAGATCAATGAAAACGGTTTCCTTTTTGGGCTACATTTTTTTATTTTTGCTTTTATAAAAGAATATAAATTGAAGAAATGCAGTCATATAAGAAACCCAAGTAAACCACCAAAGAAACCCCGTCTGCCAATTCTTCCTTCACCATCAGGTTTTCAGGTTTTGAAGACCGAGTGAAGAGAATCAGATGTGCAGAAAATAAAACTTTTTGCCAATTTTCCGACTTATCACGTATATACGGTTACCCGTCCAGAACTTACAAACTGATAGAATTAACGCGAATATTTTGTTCGTTTTATAAAAACAACAAAAGCATTTCCAAATTCGTTTCGAAAGTTATATTTTACTTAATTTCAAATTCTTTCGGTATATTCGACATACATGAGTATTTTTTCCAATTCAAGTTTCAAGGCAGTTTAGAATCATAATTGTTCTAAATTTAATTTCTTTTTTTACCAACCCTGATTAAATTCGGGTCAAAAGGAACATTTTTGTGATTTTACATCCGTCAGCAGTCAGGTCCGATACAACCAATACTAGCTTGGAAACCAATATTCTCAATTGGAAAATAGTTCAACTAAAAATTCAAACACAAGTATTCAACTATATCAAGTTTTTAACCGCCAAAATAGATGTTAATCCTTACTTCATAGTTTTTTACAGAAAAGCACACACATGTGTTTGTTTAAAATTAACCCTCTGATTTTAAAAATGCAGACCAACAGTCTTAGGTTGAGTAATTTAAAACACTCAGGAAACTACCAGTTGATTAAATTAATTATTTCCTTTGCAGAATATACCAATTAATATGTTGGGAAACAACATATTTGCTTTAACTATGAATTCGTAAATGTTTGCAAGAATAATTTTTGCCATATCAATTTTAGCTATCTTGATATTTTTGAAAGTAATTACAGACATAATGTATGTCACGCATAATATTAATCATAATACTTGCTTTATCTGCAGCTACAGGTTAATCTTTTAATATAGAAAAATGTCAGTTAAAAATAGTTTTGCGAAATAACGTTGACAAAAAAAACACAAAAATTACGCAAGAAAAAATTACTAAAGCAAAACTACCTGAAAATGAGACTTTCAAAGTCACTCTAAAAAAACATAAAAAATTAAATTTTTCTTCAAATAAAGTCTTTTCATCAGATTTCTTCTAATTTTTTTATTTTTCAAGAATCGTTTTTGCCGCGTAAACTGATTATTTCCGTATTATCTTTTTTTGCAGGGATTCAAATTCTCTGCAGATTTTACTAATTTTGCGTATTTGCAAATATTTATGCTTAAATAAACTTCCTGTTGTATATTTCCTGTGTATTTAATGACGTTAACAACTAAACCTCGATATGCAAAGATAATGCAAGAATTTAATTCTTAAAATATGCGTACACAGCATTTGTTTGTCAGTCTGCGCACATACATATTTACGAATAATTGTATGCAAGCAAAATAATTGCAATGTCCGGATGGCAAAATCAGATAAATTTGGCCTTACTATTCACGCCCCCACAATTTAAAAATGAATCCCCCCCCCCCCCCCCTCTGTTCCTCACTATAAAAGTTAAAGTTTATTCTAAACGTTATTGTATTTAACCAAGTGTAACATTTTCAGGAGTCAACCATTTATATTAAATAAACCTTTAAATGAGGCGGAATTATGTTGAAAAGACAAAACAGGAAATGGAAGAAATTTGAATATATTTACAGATTGAAAAAAGCGACAATATTTCTGCAACTTGAAATTACGTTGACAATCCCTTTAACAAAAAAAGGTTTACCAACCGTAGGGAACCAATTTTTTCATCAAATAAAATGTTATGGATGATGGTACGTGGATACCCGGAAAGAATGAAACCATGAGGACTACCTTTAACGTATTTATTTTAACTTCTCTCAGGTTAAATTTCGTTTTTACGGCTTAAATAGATCTGTTCCAGGGTTCCGAAGTTTCAAGACAAAATACTAAATGAATTCCAAAAGTCGTCTTCAAATGCTTATCTTATATAGAAAACTCTGCATGAAAGCATTTAGCTAGTATCATTTAATTCAATTGCACTCTGAATTTCGAAATAAAAAAATAGCTTTTAATTAACAAAGAATTGCTTATTTAGCAGTAATCCAACTTTTGCAGTGAAATAAGCAATTTTATTTTTAATAAAAGCGATCTTTTTTATTTCGAAATTTCGAGTGTGTGCTCTGGCTGGGGTAGTATTTCCAACTGGAGTCTGGCAATATCGAAACTAACCTGAAAAAAATACACATTTAAGTTTAAAAAGACAAATGCACATAGAAAAAAAAACGGTTTTCCATAAATTAATTAAAAAATAAAGTATTTCAAATAAGTTCTATACAAGAAATTAAAGCTGTTTATGGTTCTCAATCACGATGTAGAATGTTGATCAAAGATGCATTTTAAAATGGAATTTTGTCAATTCTGATGAAATGCATATTTGAAGAGGTCAGATTACGGAAAGTTTCTGTAAGCATTTAATTAAACCTTATTTACTATACTGCAGACATTATGTAGGGGGGGGGGATATTGCTTGGAACCCCCCCCCCCTGTATTGAAAAAGAGTAGTACAGGTACTTGTTGAATGTATGGATTAATTCTTTGAGTTGGCTCACTTTTGGAAAATACATTAGGCAAAACAATACAAGTAAAGTTGTAAAAACAGGATTCAATTAAAATTTTTAAGTTTTTTACTCTCGAGGGTTTCATTCTCTCAAAGTTATGAAATGTTTTATGTAGCACCCGTATCAGCAACACTTCGGGGCGATTTAAAATTATTTAAATCTTATTGTAAAATGAAAAATTGATGCGTTGACAGTGACACTTCACAGTTTTTATTGTTGTAATTTATTTTTGAAAGCGGCAATCTTAACCTTGGTCCATGAGACCCACTCTTAGTCTTAACACGTTAATTGTATTTGTTTAAGGTAAACTTGACAAATTCTTAAAATTCATTCAAGGGAGTGACCGGCAAGAAAGGGAGTAACCGGCAAGAAAGAGAGTGACCAGCACGTAAGGGAGTGACCGGCAAGAAAGGGAGTAACCGGCAAGAAAGAGAGTGACCAGCAAGTAAGGGAGTGACCGGCAAGAAAGGGAGTGACAGGCAATAAAGGGATGGACCGGCAAGAAAGGAATTGATCGGCTTGAAAGGGAGTGATCGGAAAAGAAGTGAGTGACCGGCCAGAAAGTGAGTGACTGGCAAAAAAAGGAGTGACCGGAAAGGAAGGGTGGTTGAAATTGTGAATTTGTAAATATGAAAAACTAGAATTTGTTTCGAACCAATCATTTTTATTTACAATCTAAAATTGCTGATGGCTAGTAAAATAAAAAATAATAAAAATTTTCAAAAACAAAAAAATTAGCATTTTTAACAACGGCTTTACACTTGATAACATTTATTCAAAATATCAATTAAATTTTTTTATCTTTTACAACCTTTGCCAAACAGAACCAGACTTAAAAGTATCGCATGCACGCCTTATCCTTTATTTTACGTCAATAAATCACTTTTACTTTTTTGTAGCCCTAAACATGTACATTTTACAATTAAACAGCACTAATCTTTAAACTTTAGTTTAAAAGAAAATAATTGCAAAATTTTCATAGATTTTTGCGTGAGAGCATTGCGTTAGATCTGACGAGGGTCAACCCAGACCTAACATCTTCTTTATTTACTCTACAGAGGTTTGGTTCATAACCATCACCGAATTTTAAATCAAGCTTAATACGTTATTCCAGAACTAGTTCACACTAGATGATTTCTATAATTTCTTTAGTACTATTATATTTAGCGTAAAGTAAGTATCTTAAAACCAATGATTTAAAGTAACTGGAATCGCTGAATGATTTGAATATACTTTTTCTTGCACTCAACCAGTTGACATAGTATTTTTTTATTTCCTCCTATCTTCTATTTTCTCATAGAAAAACTACCATGCAGTCATGTGTGAACGATTTTTCTAAAAAGACTTAAACATTTTTGTTTTCTATTGTGGGGCTGAACATAAAGTTGAAAATATTTTTAAAATTCATAAATATTCTCCAAGAGAGATTTATTGATATGATTTATGTGAGTGCATTTAAGCATTATACAGTGTTGACCAGATGAAACTAAAATATTCTCTTTAATAATTGGTACCTAACATTTTATCCAAACCCACCCATACATTTTTATTAATTGTTAAAACATTTCGACCATTTTGTTCTTGAACCTCTTGACCGATTAACCTCAAATTTTGAATAGGGACCTCGGGAGAACCACGGGAATGTGCTTATCTTAGTTTTGAGATTCTAAATTAAGTGGGTCGACAATTGTATAGGGAAAAATAGCTAACATCGTAATTTAAGACCAACCGCGGGTAAACGGCGAGAGTAATTATGAGTTAACTGGGCATCGCTCTGGGTTCCCAAGATTCCCAAGCTAGTATATTTCTACATTAAAATGAAAGTGAATGTTGTCACCTGTTCCAATAGTTTTAATAACGTCAAAATCTTCAAGTTGAAAGGTTTTCACCGAGTTTAAAATCTCAGAACTCGACTCTCTAACCATCGAACCACTCGCACTCTTTCGCAATTTACTTGTCGACACACTTGCCGACATTTCGCGGTCTTTGTCGACTCTGCTAAGCATGTTCACTATCAATGTTCCACAATGATGATATATTAATCTAGAGATTTAAGCAAAATCCACCCTTTTTATCACACAACACACATTAGTATTGGGGTGTTTTCACTCAATCACTCCCCACTACACACTATGAGTGTGAGAGAGCTGGGGGAAAGTGTGTGGAGTGAAGAGAAGTTGTGTGCAGGACGGGTCTAGTTAGACTGTAGTCTGTGAGAGTTAGACGGAGGGGAGGATTACGGTATAGAGGGAGGGGGGTTAGCGGACCGACCAGGGGGGGGAGGAAGGAGTTGGACCCTTTAAGACGTGAGGGTGGAATCTAACTTTTCCTCCACAATTTGGGGAATAGTAGATATTCACATAGAGAAATAGAAAACTTGAATTTGAAGCTTGATGGAGTTTATTCAATTTCTTTATTGAAATATTCACTAAACCAAACCAAACCATATTTTAGCCTGTGTTAATGTTTACAGGCTACAAACCAAACAGCTGTCTGGTATTCGTCGTGAATACTTTGCAGACAGCTGATTTGGTAATATGTAGAATAGACAGACATGTAGACATAGAAATGTAGACATAAAGACATAAATATATATCATGTATAACATAGGTATCGAGATTCAGACAGAAGATTTTTTTAAATGGACAATTGGTGCATATATAGACATATTTTAGATATTTAGGCAAGTTAACATATAGACAAATAGACGCATATTTAGACACATAGACCAGTAGACAATAGAAAAATTAGTAGATAGACAGATTTGATATATAATAGGTTTATCTAGATCTCCATATTTTATCTAGAAATACATCTAGAATCTTTTTTATAAAACATGTCAAAGAAGAGAGTTTGCCATCTTTCCGTGCATAATTTCATGTGATCCATGCAAAGATGACACATTCACATTGTTACCCTTAAGTGAGTGTTCGCGAAAAATAAAAGTGGGTATAGGCTTACGGCGAAAAATAATCGCTTTCGATCGCTAAGTAATCTTTCTTCTATCTGTTGCGTCTATAAGGAGAAATTGTTAAAAACGACTTAAACTGAAGAACGTATAGAGTCTATCAAATGCAGAAAGATACGATATGTACCACTCGGATCGTATATCGTATAAAAATCATTTTGATTTTGAACAAATCACTCAGATATTACAACCAAAATCTATAGTCATCGATTATTTTTGACGCATTCGTATGTATAGTTAATATTTTTTAATATTTTTATTTGTTTTGAATACAATGCAGTATTAAACGCCGTAATAGTTAGTCGATGCTTTGAATGATTACACATGGCATCGTTTTTTGAACATTTTTTGGCCGCAGCACCAGTCCGGCTCTAACCTGTCCTAGCCACGGCGCTCGGACCCCTAGTACGTCCTAGCCGCAGCGCTCGGTCCCATAAGCAGCTGTCCTAGTCTGCGCTTGGTCAAGAAATTGCCGTAACCTAATTTAACTCTCAAATATTAAAATTTCATATATTTTTTTGTTGCAAAAATACTTAAAACTTGAGAGTGGGTAATTTTTTTAAATTTGAAAAATTAGTTCAATTGAACAAATATTTGTTCAAAAGGACATAGTCCTTTTAAAAGTTAGTCCAAATGAACATTAGTCCAAACGAACGGTAGTCCAATCGATCATTAGTCCAATTGATATGAAACCAATATTGCTATTAAAGGAAAAAGTTTTTGGTTATAATTCATTAAAATTACTAAAAAAACATTGAAATGTGGAATTATAGGGCTTATCGAAGTATAGGTCACTCTATAAATATGTACTTAAAATCCCTAACACAACTTCTCCCACACCAACTTCCCCAAAGTAATATCTCCTACAGTAATTTCCCCAACAACTAACTTCCCCAAAAGGATCATTTCCCCAATCACTAATTTCTCCAATCACTTTAATTCCCAGTCACTACTTCCTTCCCTATACGTAATAAAATATTTGTAGATATAATCTACCAATCAGTGACGTCATATGAGGGTTGTATCTATCTATGCTCAGAAGACGACATTTCATTCGGTGTTACTGTAGTCTGTACTTACTCAAAATATTTGTTTGCAGACCTAGTCATGTACATTCTAGAACTTCAACGCGTATTTTTTTTTTATTTATATTTTGCGAGCATGCACATTTTGGTTTGCGGGGGGGGGGGTTCGACATAAGGTTTTAGTTTTATAAATAAAGACTGGATCAGGAAAAATATTTCCAATCTCAGCAAAATATGTTCTCAGAATTTTAAATGAAAATATCACGTAAAGTTAAAAATATTTTCAAAATATTTTTAATATTCTTCTTATAAAAATCAAACATCAGTTTGTGTAAAAGTCAACATTTTTCATGCATTTTTTAAAATTTTAGCAAACCATTTAACCGTTAATTTAGAAAATTTTGCAAAGTAAAAGAAATTGTTTACATTTTATATTTACGTTTATTACAAAGTACGATCAAATTAATACAATTCTGTGCATTCCTGTACATCACTGTATTTTTTTTTACATTCATTACTTTTCTTTACATTCCATTCCAGTACTTTTCTATACACTCCAAAACATTTCTGTACAATCCATTTCTTTTCTGCACATTTCAGTAGATTTCTGTACATTCCTGTAGTTTTCTGTACATTCCTGTAATTTACCGCACATTCCAGAACAATTCTTTACATTCCAGTATATTACTGTACATTCCAGTACTTTTCTGTACATTCTAGAACATTAATGTACATTTCAGTACTTTTCTGTACATTCCAGTAGATTTCTGTACATTCCAGTACTTTTCTGTACATGCAGTAGAATTCTGTCCATTCCTGTACCTTTCTGTACAATTCCTGTATTTTTTTTGTACATTCCAGAACATTATTTTATATTCCAGTACTTTTCTGTACATTCCAGTAAATTTTTCTACTTTCCTGTACTTTTCTGTACATTCCTGTAATTTTCTGTGACTTCCAAAACAAATCTGTACATTCCAGTAATTTTCTGTACATTCCAGACATTTCTGAACATTCCTGTACTTTTCTGTACATTCCAGTAGATTTCTGTACATTCATGTACTTTTCTGTACATTCCAGCACGTGCCTGTACATTCCTGTACTTTTCTGTACATTCCTGAACTTTTCTATACATTCCTGTAATTTTCAGTATATTCCTGTACTTTTCTGTAAATTCCTGTACTTTTCTGTAAATTTCTGTACTTTTCTGTAGATTCCAGTACTTTCTGTAAATTTTTGTAAATGCCTGTATATTCCTGTACATACTGCATATTGCTGGAAATTGCTGAAAATTTCTGGATATTGCTGTACATTGCTGTACATTAATGTAAATTACTGTACATTCCTGTAAATTTCTGTACATTGCTGAAGACATTAATGTACATTGGTGTACATTGCTGTAAATAGCTGTACATTGCTGTACATCTCTTAAAACGCCTGTATACATTGCTGTACAGTGATGAAAATTGCTGTACATAAATACCCTAAATACATTTAATACATTAAATACACACCTGGTGCTTCCTCATCCTACTCACTCAGCTGGGGGTCTATACAGACATAGAGGTCAGAGTTTTAGTCAGGTTGATCAGTTTTAACCAGGTTTATCAACTTTAGTCAGGTTTATTAGTTTTAGCCAGGTTTATCAGTTTAAGTCAGGTTTATCAGTTTAAGTCAGGTTTATCAGTTTAAGTCAGGTTTATCAGTTTAAGTCAGGTTTATCAGTTTAAGTCAGGTTTACAGTTTTAGTCAAATAGATTATCAAGTACAATAGGTGTCAACAGAGAAATTAACCAATTTTACACTACGTCACAAATGTCAAATATATCAAGGAAAACGACATTTTTTCACATTAGTTCACATGTTTTCCAAGATTAAATAAAAAAGTGTAAAAACAGAAACTAAAGAACACATAAAATTGCACTAATTTTACTGTAAGAAAAGCACTTTATTCTAAAATTATCACTATTATTGATGATTTTGTCGGACACGAAAACTGAATTGACACTTGTGACGACAGAATAGTGAATACAACTGTATTGAGAGTGTACAAATTCTACGTTGCCATCTATTGTACTAGAATCTATATGGTTTTAGTCAGGTTGATCAGTTTTAACCAGGCTTATCAGTTTTAGTCAGGTTTATTAGTTTTAGCCAGGTTTATCAGTTTTAGTCAGGTTTATCAGTTCTAGTCAGGTTTATCAGTTTTAGTCAGGTTTATCAATTTATTCAGTTTTATCAGTTTATTCAGGTTTATCAGTGTTAGTCAGGTTTATCAATTTATTCAGGTTTATCAGTTTATTCAGGTTTATCAGTATTAGTCAGGTTTATCAATTTATTCAGGTTTATCAGTATTAGTCAGGTGTATCAGTTTAAGTCAGGTTTATCAGTCTTCATCAGCTTTATCAGTTTATCAGGTTCATTGGTTGTTTTTTGTTAGGTAGGGTCACTATCAATCAATCAGATTGCTCACTTTCAGCCATGGACACCTTGCTATCATGACACTATAATGACAAAAAATAATTAGCTTGCGTAAATTTGAAATATTTTTTTAAGAAAATAATTTTTGCTTCTTGTTTTATTTTGAAAAAATATGAAACAATTTTAATATTGGGAAAATAACTCTCTAAAAATTCCAGCTCACAGCATCAAGAAACTCAGTTTGGTTAAACCACAGATTACAAAGAAAAGACAACATGTGGTGTTGTTTTCTTTATTCCTTTATTTTGAACACAATAACCACTTTTGCTCCCAATATTTCTCTTAACTTAGGTCGAACATATTAATTGAGTGTTTAAAGGGACTGTAAACGTAATTTGAAGAAACACCCCATACGAAAATGATACTGTCTGATTCACAATTGTATATTTCAACCTTAATCTAGTCGAAATGTGTTTTTTTTTTCTTTTAATTTTTCCATTGTTTCGTACTAGCAAGAAATGCTATCCTTATTCCAAGCTATTGAGCTCAAACTGGTTATAATATGTTTAGTGATGATACGTGCTCCGGTAATACAGGCAAATCATTGACCTGAGACAAACACTTTTCTATATTGTCCGATCTACGTCATCTCTGTTTTAAATGTTTAAAATGTTTAATTTTACATACATACATACAGAGTTACCCATAAAGGAAGATGAAACAAACACAATATCTATTATTAGCATGATCACTGTGTGAATAAATTGATCTATGTTTTTAAATAAAATGGCGTCTAATCTGTGGCGTGTAAAA